AAAATTAAACATGATCTTCCTAGTCATGTCAGTAGAGAGGCAGTCACCTGGTTTGGCAAAGTAAAGATTATGTTGATAGTACAAGCCATAAAACTTCATATCCAGATGAGTTATGCTGAAAAAATTTGTTTACTGGAAAGTGAGTCATGCTTCCCACAAAGTGATGAACACCAGCTCTTTTTATTAAAGATTCACAGAATCACTGTGGTTGGAAAGGAGCTCTGAGGTCATCAAGTCCAACCTTTACCAAACATCACCATGGCCACTAAACCATGTAATGAAGTGCTACATCTACTCATAGTTTTGAGCACTTCCAGAGATGGTGACTCCACCACATCCCTGGACAGCTTGTTTCAATGTTTAATCACTCTTCCAGTGAAAAAAAAAATCCTAAAAACCAACTTGGCCTTCCCATGGTGCAACTTGAGGCCGTTTCCCCTTGGCCTATTGCTTGTTTCCTGGGAGACAAGGCCAATTGCCCACCTCAGCACAGCCTCATTTCATACAACTTAAGCTAGAAGTGCTCTACACTGCCAAATGAGGTAATAATTCTATATTCTTTAACTTTCATGTTGAAAGGATTGAGTAATTAGCAGTGACTTGGAATGGAAAATTTTGTGGTTCCCCTTTATGGCTTCTTATATCTCACAAGATAGAATATGCATACTTTCTGATATGGCCTCAGTTCTCTCTCTCTATAAAAAAAAAAGAAAAAGAAAAACCTAAAAACCCAACACATAGGATCTTGAAAGGAATTCAGAAAGCTGTCCTTATGCAATTGCAAAATTTTCAGTTTAGTATCTCTACTGAAGTCGAACAGATCATGTGTACTTCCCTAAATCTTACCAATTTTTGCCCAAGGAACAACCTATAATCACCTATTTAATACAAATTTTCTAAAGAGAAATGTGCAACCATGTGTCTACAGAGAAAAGGGGCAAACCAAAGTCCTACTCAGGCTCTGCTGCATATGTAATTCTCCTCTAATCAAGGGTGGGGCAGAAGATGAGCTACAGTCCTGCTGTTCAGTGGAAAGCACAACTAATGTAGTGTGATAAAGATGATACATACACCCTAAAAAAAGCTGGACCAAAGAAATGGACACTGGAGAGAGGAGGCTTCAACAATATCACAGTTGTAAATATCACAATTGGCAAATTGCTGGGTTTCAGCTGTTGGTATATCCTGCATCCCACAATTTACACATAGCTTATTAAAAATCATCAATCTTCTCTTAGAAAGGCTGTGTGAGTCACTAAGAGCCTCTGCTGAAGTGGAGCCATCCAGATGCTTAGACACACAAGCAGAGAATTTTTCTAATCATTGCTAAAAGGGAAAAAGAAATAAGATAAAACCAAGAGATTTTAAAAAAAGATTTTTAACCACTTTTTTTCTTTTTAAATTGAGATTGTGAATGAAGACAAGATATTGTATTTTAATTAGCATTTTGATGAACATTTTGAATCCTTTCTTTCCTGACCTTTCACTTAATGTACACTTACTATTTTGCTAAATAATAAGATTTTTATATATCCTTATAGCTAGTGCCAAAAAAGAAAAAAATTTGGAAAACTCTGACCAATTAAGCCGAGTTAAGTTTGAAAAGTAGAGTTTCCCTGAAAGAGATCTCTTCTGTCTGCTATTTTGTTCATAGTATTTTAAAAGAAAGAATATTTGGTATACATACTTTTGGAAATACCATTCCATACGAATTCAGTATAGCTGCACACAAAGTAACAGTCCCACTGTTCACTTTGGTTAAAACATATACTATTACAATATTGCAATTTTATTTGCTACAGAGGACAGAGAAACCCTGCTCTTCCCCTTGCACACGTATTTGTTGCAGAGCTTGGCAGACTGATTTTTCCTGGAGTAAAACCAGCTGAACATCCCAGGCTACGATGACAGCCTGAAGTTGGGACTGGTTTACCACAGGGTGCTCTGGAAAGAAATCCACCGGGATAGGCTGCACCCTCCTGGCCTGCAGAGCTGAGGTGCCTGAGCTGATCCATCCTCTGCGTGTAGAAGCCCCTCCCAAATTTTTATGTGATATGTGACTGTCACTGGGATATTGTAATTTTGACAAATTATTTCTTTCAAATGGCTTAAACCCCAACAATTTCAAGTCTATGTTGGTTAAAGGAAAGCCCTGCTCCCACTCCAGAAGTTTTGCTATATGTTCATTTTTCACACTGAAGAAGCTTTTCCTTTGTAATAGAATATGTATTAATTATTTATCATCATATTCTTGCACAGAAAATGCCTTCAAGCATTATGAAAGAAATTATAAAGATGTGCTTAGCACTACATGTACAGCTATCATATGAGCCAGAAAAAAAGTAATCAAGTTTTACATTGAACTCATCTGCATTCTGACCTATGAGGATTTCAAGCTGATAAAATAAAAATAATCACTCATATTTAGAATGGTTCCTTTAAATCAGCAGCATTATGTTCAGTTTTTCAAACAAAGTATCATCTCACTGCTGTTATGAACTCATCAATATCACAGAAATAAATACAAAATACAGCAGAATCTTTCGCCTTTTAATCTGTGCTAGTTCCTTAGGCAGGTAGAAACATGGAATATGTGAACAGCAAAGTTAAAGTCACATAGGTTCATTTTACATTAAAGACATTGGCCACAACATCTGGAGAACAAAAGACCCCAACAAACCAACCAACCAAAATAACAACAACAAATCACCAAACCAAAAGAAAACCAACAAACCAACTCAACAAAACACCCTCAAAAGGGTAGCTAGAAAAATTACCTGTCACTGGCAATTTCTACAATTAGAAAATGCCCCTGAATTGAAAACAGCCTTGCTGCAAACATAGGTAAGAAAAAGGCAGACTTAGAGAAACATCAACATTTTTTGTAAAAGCATTCTAACAATACAACTGCCTTTTATTACTATATTATTATTATTATTACTATTACTATTATTATTATTATTATTATTATTATTATTATTATTATTATTTATCAAGAGCTTTTTATGTTCCTTGCTGACTCACTAACTTTGCTGGCTCACTTCTTTACTGAGATAACAAAGAAGGATGTATGCTCTCAGTCGAGCTTTCTCCAATCATTAACCACAGGAGCAGCAAGGCCTAGGGAGAAAGCCAAATTTATCTCTCGAATATAATATAATTTTTACACAACTGTTAATAAGGATAGATCATATGAAGTGAATAAATGTCTTTACACGGGGCTGGTTATTTTTCAGTACACCATCTTAAAGTTACACCTTATTGCATTTCTCACAGCTAACATACTTGACTTAAGTTATGCTGTGATAAGATTAAAATGCCTTGATAAAATGAGCAGTTTCAACAAGCAAGAATCTAGAACATACCCATTATGAACTCAGGATATACTGAGATAACTAGAAAGCTAAGATATGTGAGTCCAAAGGCTATGTTCTCTTTGATATATACACTCTATACATGTTGTCATTTATTCATTTGGCAACTTTTTTCTACGGGTACTTCACTGGCTATTTCTTCCACAGCCCTTCTCTTACCTTTTTCATGGTATCTCTTTTTTTTTTTTTCTATTTCAGTTCTCTCTTGAGCTAATGAGCAGGCACATACCTATGCTGCATAAATAGCTAAGAACTTTTAAATCACCTATTCCCTTTATTTCCACAGCACATGAACGATCAGATTATAATTCACTTAAGAGGCTGTTTGTCAGGTCCTCCAGCAGCTTTAAGTTAGCAAATGATGCTAATTTACAGCAGCCAGGACAGGTGACCCTGGCTGACCAAAGGGACATTCCCACACCATGTGACATCATGCTCCGTGTATAACGTGGGGGGAAGGAGAAAGGGGAGGATATATGGAATGATGGTGTTTGTCTGCCCAAGTAACCCTTGCATGTGATGGGGCCCTGTTGTCCTGGAGATGGCTGAACACCTGCCTGCCCATGGGAAGCAGGGAATTAATTCCTTGTAGAATATTCATTTATATTAATGAATGTACTACATATATGCCTAGCAACACAAAATATAAATGTTTTACTTAAAGAAGTTGCAGGCTACTCATCAACTGTAGCATGATTTCAGGAAACAGCCCCTTCTTTAACTGCATATAAATTTATTTCTGTCAGTTAAGCAGAGCATGAAAGATTCAGCAGCTTTATTGAGATAGGGGAAGTGGAAGAATTTAACTCTCTTTTTAGGAAAAGCTGTAATTTTGAATTCACATCTAATTTCAGGCAGATATATAAATATCTGTTGCAAAGAGCAGAAAACATAAATACAGTCAAAGATTTTTCAATGTATAGGTAAAGCTTTCCTCTGACTAGAATCCTTTATTTAATTTAATTTTAATTATTTATTTAATTTATTTAATAAAATGGTGTAACTAATCCATCATATAGACAAAGAAGTTGAGCTATGTGTAACTATCTTTTCACTCTGAGAAATCATAAAGAGAGATTTGTAATAGTTACTAATGAAATATTTGTTGCAAAAGGTGATCCAGCAAAAAAAAAATTGGATGTGGCAATGTTCATATCAGGTCGACGTTATCCTAATTTAAAAGTGGTTCTATTTTATGTATTGACATGGGTTTCATAAGCATAGTTCTTTTGCCCGCTTAAATCACTATGCAGAAGATCAGAAATAGCAACGTCAAAATATCTTATATTTTTAAATAATAGAATAATCAGAATATTAAAAAATATAGTTTAGAGATCCCTTTTAATTAATATGTAGCTAATGCAATTCAGGGTGGCTGATGCTTTAGTTTGTATAAATGGTGTTTGTGTTCTTCAAACCAAGACTACAGGAAAAATCCTCACAAACTTATCAGAAAAGTCCTTCAAAAGGATCTTTTTTCATATAAGTTGCCCCTACACAGGTTTGGTTTTTGCTGATACCATGATATCATTCTAATATTATAAGCTATATATTATATATATTATTATAGATCTAAATTTCAAAGTTCTTGCTGACATATTTTCTGAACTGGGCTTGCTTCTTATACTTGTAAGTCCTGTTTACAATCATGTTAATATTTCACTAGGGCTTAAAATTCAACACCATTGACAAGGTGCAAACTTCATTCTTGACTGCCCCAAAGGCATTGCTACAACTTGTGCGCCTTCAGTTTGCTCTCACATGCCAGCATGCTGTAGGCAGGTACGGGACAAACACGTGCAGGGCTGTGCCTCTCCTGCCACTTTCACCACCCTCCAGACTGATGTGGGCTGTACCTGCTGAGAGCAGGGCAGCAGCTGGATTTACATTAGATCCTTCCAGCTTCGGGTGATTGACTCAGCCCATTTCACAGAACTGAGACGCTTCTGAAGAAAACTCAATGGAATATACACACAAATCGCTGGCAATCAGTAAGTGCCAGCTTCTCTTTATTTCTTTATTTACTACAATTTGTTGTCCTTTTTTTTTTTTTTTTTTTTTTTTTTTTTCTTCTTTTTCCACCCACAAAACTCCTTAGAGATGTATTGGACACCTTGGTTTTAAGATTTCTGGGAGAGCTAAATTCTATGGGCAACTGAACACTTTAAACTTCCACTGACTTCGGAATTCTTGGACTATTGTCTGGAATTTGATTGGCTATTTGGTGGTAATGTTTGGGTTTTCTCTCATACATTTTAAACTTTCCACTACGCAGAAGGCAGGGGGTTTTATATTCTAGCAGTTTTTCTATTAAGAAAAATCAGATCCTTATAGATAATTTTATTTGTAATAAGTGTGTTTTTATTACTCTTTCAGAGTCCAAGTATATTTCTGTTATAAAATACATTGCACACAAAAACATATAAAATAAATACAGCATATAGATGTATTTGCACATACGGTTAAGTGCAGCTTGCTTAAATACCTGGTCTAAGTGTCCTCTAGAGCAACAGCACATTGTGAGTCCTCGGTAAAAAGGGTTTGAGCTTACATTCTTGTATGAGCCAGCAGCATTGTTTCCCTCGTAACCACCAAAGTTACTTAACCAGTTTGACCAGGATCTAGCATCCTTCTGAGTAAAGACTTAACTACTCTATTGGGAGCAGTCCTTTTCCACAGCCAGTCCGATGAGTAAACCTTTACCCTTTTTCCTAGGCGAAGCAGTAGCAGTTCATGGAGCTGCCCTTCACAAACCTTGAAGTAGCTTTCATCTTGCTGGCTTTTGTAATTTTCACCTTGTTTACCCTGGCTTCTATCTACAGTGACTCCCATGACAACAGAGAAGGTAAAGATCTAAAATAAATGTAGTACTTTACAGTTTTTACTAGGTAATACTCTTAATTATATGTTCTGGGATTTTTCTTGCTGATAGACGTACATCACCTCACCCCAGCCTCAGCAATACCATACGAAGGGGCAGAGAGTAATTGGTTAAGGCATCAGCAAAAGCAGAAATTGTGTAAAGTGTGAGAACGAGACCTTTTAGAGCTGGATCTGCCGCCTCGGACGGAGCTGTGTCACACAGCTGAGATCAGCGCTGTGAGCAACCTCTGCTCTCAGTACGGGAGGATTTTCTCCTGGCAGCAGTTCTCCTTCGTGGTCTGAGGAGTTATAAAGTGCTTAGGCTAGCAAAGCTGAGGATGTTCTTGTAATCAAGGTACATGTTTGTTTTCATCAGACTGAAGCCAAGAATTTGCTGCCTTTTAGGAGTGAAAATGCCATTAAAAGCACGGGGCGGGGGGAGGGGGGGGCGTGTCTTTCTCCCATTCAAAATATTTTGTGAAGTCTGGAAAAAACCCCAACCAGATCCCCTGCTAGTTCTACAAAGGAGATTTAACAAAACCTTACGCCACCGGCAGAGAATTCCCGTGTTACAGTAGCGCTGTCACAGCCACCCTCATGCCATCTAATCGCTTGCCGGCAGGAGTATCATCCAGGCTGCTGCAGGGGAGGGGGAGCAGGGAGCTCTGGCCATCCCTACAGTAAGAGTTCCTCTCTTCTTCCCAGCCTCCCATGAGATCGCCCTACCCCTGCTAAGCTTCCTCAAACTGGAGAAGGAGGGGAGGAAAGGAGGTAGGGAGAAAGAGACTGAAATAAACTCCTGAGGCACACAGCAATACAGCTGTTGGTTTCTGCCACATCTAACAGAAACTAATCCTGTGTTACCTTGACTTCTGTCTAAAATAAGATGTTTATTTTACGGACATTTTAAGAGCAACCCTAATGGAGTGCTCTTAATATTTGTCTCATGTTTTAAAACTCTGGCCTGTCTAATGATTTGTGAAACAATAGATAACACCATGAAAGGTAAGGAAGTGTCTCAGCGCTTGCCACTCGCATGTCAATTAGGTTTCTTTCTTGGTCTTCTCAGATTTTACATCATTTCTAGACAGAAGGGCAAAGTGCCCGAAAACAATGCGCATTTGTGTGGCTAAAGTGTGGTTGCCATGAGAACTGACCTCATTCAGACAGCGTGGAAACACGCGGTTTTTCCTGGGAGAAGTCTGCGGTACTGGCACGGCAGGAGCAGCCGCTCCTCACGCTCAGGGGAGGAGGGGGAAGCATGTGCTCTAAGGCAACCAACACATTTTGCGTAAGCAGGAACTTGGAAATGAGACCCTGTTCCACCAGTCTATACCTGAGATATGTCTTATGAGATCAAAAAGGGAATTTAATAGAATCACATTGATTTTAAACTTATGCCTGTCATTGTGCAAAGACAAGGTCAGGTCCCCTTCCTTGCCCTCAGCTTCCACAATAGCTCACAACAGAGTTGTAGGGTGACTATTCCTGACAGCATCTCCTTAGTATCAAAAATTGCATGAGAACTCACTTGTCCTGTTTATAACACCACAACCACACTTTCAGTTTGCAAAGAGAAAGCTAAATCTGCTGAGCACTATATGAGAGCAGAATCTTGATTTAAAAGTTCATCGGTGCCAAATATCTCAAAAACCTTGGTGTGCCCTCAGCAGGCCTAGTTCTCACATTTCGAATTAGAACTATATTCAAAGAACAATGCAATCATTTTGGACAGAAATTTGGTGAGAACAAATTATGCTTACTATTCTAGTTAAATAGCCCCTGAATTCAGGAAATATCCTTCTGCAATAACAGAGCTTTGTACCATGTTTATGCCTTTCTCCTACACTGTTTTTTTTTTTTTTAATCTGCATTTAGAGGAAAGACCAGCAAGCAGGGAGTCTATAAAAAGCCTGCTGCCTAAGTTACAGTGGCAACAGGAGAATGAAACCATATACCCTCTTTGCACTGACGTTGGCAGATGTCTGGTTAGAAAATCTAGGTGAAATGTTTAAGTGAGGTGCTGTCATTTATTGGTCTTACAGCACACTCGTACTGCACTGGGCCAGTAAGTTCTACTCACAGCAGGAAGAAGTATCCTGTGATTTTCCTCTTGCATGTTATCTGAACAGAAAAGGAGGGCTACAGGGGGATTCTGATTTGTATTCCAGTTATTTCCATTCAGTTACTTAAGAGGAGATAGTTGTACTTTTTTGTGGGAATAGGACTGTGCCTGTTTTATTTTCTCTTGTGGACAGGAAGTTTGCACATCATTTGCTTTTCCCACAACACAGAACACAGTGTGTATTTTTCACATATTTATTTAGATTAAGGAAATGAGAAATTGCATTTCTCAAGCTTCTATGGCAAGTTTTGAGGGAAATTGTTCTAAAAAACAATCTCACGGCATATTACAGTATTTTATCATGGTACTGTATAGCAGAGGATACAGTGCAAAGCAGCTCTTCCTGCTCGAAAAACATTGCTCAGATTTGCCATTTCAGTCGAGGACAGGGACGGGGAGAGAGGAGTGTGCATGGCCAAGTGTGGCAAACTAGACATATCAAATAGAGTAATTAGGAAGTGAGGAGAAGTATGTTTACCTTCTATTAAAAGGTAAATGTTTTTCTCCCTCCGAAAAATGAAGGCATGTTCTGTAAGATTATTCTACCTTTGAGCAAATGCAATAAGTCATGCAAATGTAAAGAATGTCATCCTTCAAAAGTCTGTATCTACCTGAAGAAGAGAAGCAGAATATCTGGAATAATGTTCCCTTGTTCAGGGAAGGAAAATAAGAAATCTGAGAGCATTTATTAATTAATTGCAGTGGAAGTAAGAGAAACTCCTGATACCATGACAACTGATATATTTGAGGATGGACACCGAACAAGTAGAAGGACACTACTGAAAAATGCAGAAATGTTTCACTAGATTTGTCATAAGGAAACTTAGCTCAGAAAGCTAAATTTAAAATAAGGCATGTATGATTATGCATAAGTACAGGAGCCTACAGAAAACCTAAATGTAAAATCAGGAATATACTCATTGCCTGCGTTATAAAGCCTTTTTTGCTGGCATTACATTTTGTTCTTTACAGTTAGATGCCAACAGGATAGTGTCTGGCACAAACTGCAGGACATGGATTAGAGCAAAAGTTTGGAAATCTGTAGTGGTGTGATGTTCTGAAGGAGGCTGTAGTATGTGCTTCCTGCTACCCTTTTAGAAGAGGTTAAACCCACTGTCACAACTTCTATGAAATATCCTTTTCATGCCCTAGTGCCACTGTAGCTCTTTTATATAAGGAATAACTATGAGGAAGCAGTCTTCTGATTTTCTAGGATTCTTTCTTATGTGTAGCACGTAAGCCTTGACTTTAACTCTTTTCACTGTTTGAGCAGTATCCCTGTCAGGAACCAAACAATAGCTCCTTAAGGCAAAGTGCAATGTGCTTCATAGGGTTTTGTTCTAAGAAATAGAAAAGATGACAGATTTATTGTAAAAAGGTAAAAGAGAGTGAGATTTTGAGATTTTAAGAACTTGTGATGTATGTGCTGCCAAGAACAGACAGTCATTAGAACAGTTCCAAGCAGAGTCTATACAATAAATCTCCCACTGGAGGGAGATGTCTAGTCACCATGAGCCACTAGCTCTGCTACTTGGGGAAGAATTATCTTACAAAGACCAGAAACAACACATGAATCCCTCAAACCTTTGCTTTCAGCAGTGTCTGCTAGAATTGAAATCTCAATTCTGATGATTAAAATTGCCATTCACATCTCCATTGTATGACAAGCTATTCCAAACACAGGTGCACGCAAGGGAATTTACTTAGCAGATTTTTGCCTCAGGGAAACTTGATTTCATATGCACTAAATTGAATTTCAGTGGAAGAAATTTACTGTTTTGCTCCACTTACACAGCATTATCCAAATGGTAAGACAGCAAGGAAGATACCCAGAACATTTATTTCTCCTAATCTATATTCTTTTCTACAGGGAAAAAAAACCAACTATACATATAGTGGAAATAAAGGAAGGATTGCTTACACTAAACTAGTATTTAAAAATTTACTGTCTTAAATTTTTCCATGTTTAAGAATATTGACCCTAAAAACTGAAGTGTCTGAGCTGATCACTTTGAAGACTTCATTTGTCATTACTTGAGTACTGACATACTAAGCAGTGATAAATACAAACAGTAAGTGCACTCAAGAACTTGCATCCTCTGATGTTTAAGAGACTTCTAACACTTTTAGTATGTTGTATATGAGGAAAGTTTAATATTTCCATGATTTCTCTAGAGATATTTTCTTTTGATTACAAATTGCTGGTAAACCTTTTGAGCCATGGAGTCATACTTCAAATCTGCAGACAAAGCCCCTTCTATTTCTTTTTCTTATAAAAATAAAGGCTCAAGCAATGTTAATGATCACACGTTTACAAAGAACAGATTATGTCTAGAAAAATTACATCAGCTAAAATTTTCAAAATCAAACCAAAGGGAACAATAAATGTTATACATCAGCTACTATTTCACAGAATGAAATGGGTATAGGCCAATTCAAGAGTACTGCAAGAAAGAAAGAGAGTAACATTTGTTTCCTACTAGTCAATAAATATGATTACACTGGAGAACAAAATACCATAAAAAAAGAAATATGTAATCATGTAACGCAATTTTTTGTAACTGATTACAAAAACTGATTAGAAGTTCCTGAATAATTTGAATAAAAGACTTTGTTCGACACGATAAATGTTTCTGTATATTTTCATCCCAGCTGAATCAATCCTCACCTGTATGTTAGCTACAAAGTGCAATTTCAGGAATGAAGAGCCTTGGCTATGCACCTGTTCTTATTAGGGAAAATTAAAGCACATAACAACGGTGTTAGATCTGCAGGAGGAAACCTGGCGAATAAATGTTTAACCTTCCCTTAGTCACAAAGGGACACTTTTCACCATCTTGGGGACAATCCTTACTGAC